GTTATGCCTAAACGTATTTTTCTAAAGGCGCAAATTCAACAGGCCTCATACCAGGCGCCATACCAGGTCTTCTTCTCTCCTTCTTACAAATGGGGCACTGATTCGGTACTGGAGGCGGAGGGCGCTCCACTGGCGGCTGCCGGTGAAGAGGGCACGTTTCAACCACTGACAAGATAGGACTGCAGTAGGAACTCTTGCACACGCTGCGATCGGTCTCTGAGCTACGACTCGAGTCTGTAGATGGCGGTGAAGGCCCTTTCGAGCTTGGGGCAGCACGTCGTTTCATTTCAGGTGACCCCGGATACCGCTTCACTGCGGGAGAGCTATGGGAGCGCTTTTTGTCTCTTGGGGGAACTCGCTGAAGTTGTCTGCCTCTTCCCTCCCCGTTATAAGGGGGCATTGGAGCTTGCAGCCCTTTAGAAAGCTTTATATCCCCTGGAACTGCATCATGAGATTTGCGACGCTTGTCTGGAGCGCCGTTCACCACACTCGTCCTCTCAGCAGTGACTCTTTCATCTATGGGATCAAATCTCGAAGCAGACAGCTTTTTCAGGGAACCATTGACAGGCCTGCTTGAGACTTCAGACCTCGAAACTTCGGAGACTTCTTTCTCTTCGGAGACCGCCTTTCTGCCACGCAGCTGTTGACAGGCGCGCCTTAGAAGGTCATTCTCCTTTTTCAAACCCACGATCTCTTCCCTTAGTTTCTGAGTAGTTTCTATGAGCTGTAGATTTTCGTCTTCTAATCGCCGGTATTCGATTCCCATTTGCTCCATTTTCCCTGAAGAATTTTTGAGATTTTCCGTTTCCTTTAGCAGTGCATCCAAACGGTCCGAGAGAAGCTTAGTCCTCATTTTCATGGCGTTGTCTTTCTCGATTACTTGCTCAGCCAGTTGCTCTTTAAGGTACGTTTCTCTTTCTTTCTCAGCTTCAAGGTTCTTGACCTTGAAAACAAATAAATAAAAGATAATGATGAAAAAAATAATAATAATAAAAATCAATTCAAAACACTCCCTCCAAAAGAACTTGATGTTTTTCCTCAAATCAACTTGTGGAGCTTTAAGGGGGCTACTGTTTACGTAGGCGGGATTTCCGCCGTTCTCTCGGTCTTCTCAGAGAATTCGTGGTGGTTTATATAAGAAGATGTGGCCATATCAGGGATTGTAATGACGGTATTATAAAACATTTACTATTACATACTTAGAATAGAATGATAACACACAATATTATATACTTATAAAAGTTAATTATTGTAGCGTACCTTGGAAGCCATGTCTTTTAATTCTTCGACAACTTTGTTAACATCTTCACCTTTGGTCTCCAGTGCCTTGTACAGTTCTCTTACGTCCATCTCCAGCTTCCTGTTCATCTCTTCAAGTTTGTCTTTCTCCGCGAATAAGCTCCTGAGTTTGTCGTTTAGCTCTTTATGATTTCCTTTATCAAGAAGAAGATGTTCGATTTCAGCTCTTTGCTCACGGTTGACTGTTTCTATGCGCTGCTTGTCGTATTCTAGCTGTCGCACTCGAGATAAAGTAGTTTCTTTGTCTTTTTCCAGACCACGACAGTCGTTTTCAAGCTTCCTTTGGAGTGTGCTCAGTTCCTCCACCCTTGTCTGCAGTGAGATCGCTTCGTGCTCTTTGGCGTCTATCTTGGACAGCAAATCTTGATTCTTGCTTTCCATTGTCACTTTAAATGAGTGTGCGTCCTCGACTAGTTGAGTTCTTTGGTTTTCCAGTTCTTTACAGTTTTCCTCCAAATTATTGTTCTCGTTCTTAAGTTCGTACTGTTCCGTTTGTAAGGCTCTCAAACTCTCCTTTGTCGCCTTAAGTTCAGATTCTATCGCCATGTTTTTGTTAATGGCAATTTCTTTGGCGTTGGATAATTCACTGATTCGGTGTTTAGCATTTTCCAGTTCTTTACAGACCGCAGCAAAATTATCTTTGTTTGATTTTTCTAGTTCTTTTTTGAGGTCCTTCATATTCTTTTTCAGTGTTTCATTTTCCGCAGATAAGCGCTCTTTGTCCTTTTTCAATTCCTTCACTTTTTCCGATTCTTTCATTATTTTGCCGTCTTTTCCTCTCGTTTCCTGTAGAGTTTTCTTCAATTCTGCGTTTTCTTGTATCCATGAGTTCTTCTCTGCCCGTTCATCGTACGACAGATTACGAAGTTTATCGACCTCGAACCGGACTTCCGAAACCTCAAGCTCGACAGCTGTTTTCTCCTTCTGAGCAAGCTCTAATTTTTCTTGCAGATCGTGAACCTTTGAATGGAGTGAGTCTTTCCTCTTGTTAGATTCTTGCGCACACTCCTTCAAAGCGGTTATTTCAGCATTCAATCGGTTTTTCTCCCTCAAGTAATCAAGAAGATTTCCTTCGCCCTTGGATCTTTCCTGGCTTAGACACTCTTCTAAACCTCTAATATTCCTTCGAAGGTCTTCAAGACTGTCTTTAAGACGCTCAGCCTCTTCTAAATCAGTTGCCGTCAAGTCACTTTGCGTCTCTAATTCTTGCGTATTGACTACCTTCTTTTGCCTACCAGTGCTCGCTCTTCGTCGTTTCTCCGGTTTTTCCGTACAGTCGACGAGCTGTTTAAATCTTTCAACTTCAACTAACGACTCATTCAATATTTGCTTCAAGATGACCCGGGCACTTTCGGAACGCTTGAGTCTTTTAGCAAGTCTATCCCGCTCTTTCCATGCGTCGTCTAGCTGTTTTAGAAGCTCTTTGTTCTCCTGTGTAGACTGTTCTATAAAGCTTCTAGTGCGCTCTTTGGATCTGTCAGCATCTTCACTGATAGAATTCCGCCTGCTCTCCCTAATGTCGTTCTTTGCTCGACTTAACAATTCGGCTGTCTTGGCGATTGCCTCGAGCATATCCGACTCTGCTTTCTTCAAACTTCCTTTGAGTTCAACTACAGTGATGAACGAAGACCTGTTCTTCTCCATGGATATAAGCGACGAAAACTCTTTGCGCATTTTGTTGTACTCTTTCTCCATGTCTTCGATGCTGGATTGAAATAGCTTGCGTTCTTGTTCGTGGAGTCGTTCTTTCTGTCTCAACGCGTGTAACGCATCGGACAGTTCCAAGTGCAGATCGAATACTTGATCGCGTGCTTTCCTTAGTTCGCTCCGCAGCTCGTGCTCGTGTTCTTCCAGCATAGCTATTTCTTTCCTAGCTTTTTCAAGCGAGCTTGACGTGACAGTTGTTTGTGGGCTCAGGTTGAACTCGGAAACTCCGGATTCCAACAAATTTCCAGCCGAAGAACTTCGGAGCCTCCCTTCAGAGACCAAGCTGTGCGACCGTTCTCTACCTGTTGCTTGTTGTAGTTCTTTCTTCAGTCGTTTTTCTTTTTCTCTAGCGAGTTCTAGAGCCTCCTGAAGGCGGTTGTTTGCACGTCTTATACTTTCTAATCGTTCTTCGTCCTCGCATCTTTCTTTCATAGTTTTGTAGAATTCTTCACGAGCTGCCGCCAAATGCGCTTCTTTCATCTGGAAATCTTTCTCTTCTTCAAATCGTGAACGCTTATATTCTACTATTGCTTCTTCGAGCGAACCTATTCTCATCTCCTTTTCAGCTAGTTCGCTTTGAAGTTTTGAAAGTTTATCTCCATAGTCCTTTGCCGTTGTTCCATCTTTGTTCTTTTCAATGTTTCCCTTTTCTTTTTGTCTTGTTCGTTTGAACCCGTCTATTTCTTCTTCAAGCGAGGCAATTTTCTTGTCCTTATCGGCCAACTTTTGTTGTATTCGATCTAGATGGAGATGAATCTCTTGCTCTCGGTCCGATGCCGATTGTTTGTGCGTAGCAAACTCCTTTTCAAGGGAGTCAATCTTTTTGTCTTTTTCGTTCAATTCGATCCGTAGCTCTTCAAGTTCTTCCACTTCTTTCTTTGGTTTCTTCAGCTTCACCTCAGTTCCTCCTGATCTTTTATAGTCCATGGCTTCTTCCTCAAGAGATGTAACGCGATTGCTCTTCTCATCCAACGCTTTCTGTAGATGGTCGATTTCATCATAAAGGTCTTTCTCCGTTTGTTGCAGTTTCTTTTCAGCTTCCTCTTTTGCTGAAGTTATCTCCTCTACTGCCTTACGCAAAGTCGAGTTCTCACTCTTTTTGTTTCCTAACTGGTTCATCACCTCTTGCTTTTCAAGGCGCGTTGCATTCATCTTACGTTCCAGCTCCTTCACTTTCTCTTTACTTTTAGTTAGCTTCTCCTCGGTGCCATTTCGAACTCCTTGATCACCTTTCTTGGGGACGCGGATTTTTACTCCTTGATCGCTTTTCTCTAACGCTTCCTCTAACTTTTTCCTTTCTTCAAGAACTTTTCGATACTCCTGTTCTTTTGCTTTAATTTCTTCCCGAAGCATGTTCTTATCCTTCAGAAGAACTTCCAGCTTTTTCGACAATTCCTTGTTTACGTCGTCTAGTGATCCCAACTCTTCCTTGTAGTGTTTTTCATTCTCGTCCAGTTTGTCTTCTAAGCTTTCCTTTTCGTCAATCAAAGTGTCCACATCTGTTTGTAGTTTTTTCGTCTTGGATCTCAACTCATCGATAATCTCGTTCAGCTCGTCTTTCTCCTCAATAAGCTCTTCTATTTCTTCATGTAGTTCGGCATTTAATTCGCGCTCCTTGGATAATTTGTCTTCAACAGAACCATCCTCCTGATCTTTAGCTGATCTTAAACCGTATTCCATTTCTACTTCAGATGAAAGCAAGCCTCCCTGGACACATGCGATTATTTCTTCATTTCCACTTTGCAGTAAGTTATCGGCATTTGTCTGGTCTTGAGCGACGTTATTTTGGGACGAAATTTTAATAGCCTCGTGTTCTTCCCGGAGACGTTCCATTTCCTCTTCAATACTCGCTCTCTCGCTCTTCTCGCGACGAAGTTGCTTTTCCAGCTCGCGTTTTTCCTTTCGTGTTTGTTCCTGATCAACTTTATCATCGACTAACTTCTGAGAGAACGCTTTAAGAGCCTTATGTTCCTCTGTAAGTTTTGCCAAGTCCTTTTCTACGGATATCTTCAACTCAAGTTCTTTCTCAAGCTCGCCATTTCTCTCGATTGTCTCGTTCAATTTCTTTTGTAGGGTATCACATTCATGTCTTAAACTCTCCAACTCGGTTTCTATTCGTACTGTCTCGGTGTTCACTTCGTTCAACATAGTTCGTTCCTTATTCTGTGCTTCTCCAAATGCTGAATTAAGAGAAGCCATTTCTTTCTCAATGGCTTCTAACCTCTTTGTCAACTTTTCGTTCTGCTCTATGGTCGTTCTGGTTGTGGCTTCGGCTTTTCTCAATTTATTCTCTGCAGCATCTAGAGACTTCTTCAAGTCTTCTCTATCTTTTTTCAGCTGATCATATTTGCTTTTCCCTTCCTGGTAAAAATCTTTTGAACGATTCAGTTCCTTTTGAATGTTTTCCAAGGACGAACTCTTGCTTGCGAGGTCTTCTTTTAGAGACGTTACCTCCGAGTTCGACTTTTTACACTCATCTTCTAGAAACGTTTTGCTGCAGTTCAAGTCCAGCAAACGTTTTGCTTTGTCTTTATTTTTAGTTTCCAACTCTTTTACACTCTGTTCTAGAGTCAACCTTTCTCTATCATGGCCCGCTATCTGCTGCTTAAGAATTTCGTTTTCGTCTTCGCTTTTGGCTATCATTTCTTGCACCTCTTTCAACTTCTCATCCAACGCTTTCTTTCCTTCCGTCTCCTCATCCAGTTTCTTTTGCAAATTATTCACCTCATCGACGGCCTCTTTCTGTGATTTCTCTGCTTCATCACAGTTCTTTTCGAGCTTAGCAATTTTACTCTTTTGGTCATCTACAACTCTTAGCAAGTCTGTCATTGCAATGCTCGACTTCTTGATTTCCTCCTTAAGACATTCAAGCTGTTCGTCTTTTTCATCGAGATCGTTCCTCCATATCAACGCACTTTCTTTGTTCATCGTCTCAAATGACAAAATTGAAGCTGCTTGAGCTTCTACATTGGCCTCTAGCTCATTGTTCTGTTCTCGTATCTTGATATTCTCCTCCTGCGCTTTGTTCAAGCGCTTTTCAAGCTCTCGAGATTTGTTTAAAGCCATCATGAACGCCTTCTTCTCCTCTTCGAGTCTATTGATGCAAAGGGTATGCTCTTTTTCCTCGCTCGTTGCATGCTCCAGTTCTTGACTTAAGCTTGCAACTGTGTTCTTTTCGCGTTCCAGTTCAGAGAGCAACTTGTCAGAACTGCTCTTCGCCTCTGCCAGTGCTACTCTCAAGTCTGAACTCTGGTTCTCTGCATTTTCTAGTTCTTGAGTCAGTCTTGAAACATTTTTCTTCTCGCATTCTAGTTCAGCCAGCAATTCATCTGACGTTTTTGTCGCCTGTTCCAACGCTACCGTCACTTCCGCTTGGGTTAAGCTCAGCGACTCTGCCTCTTTTTCTTTATTTTCCAACATTTTTGTCTTCTCGACAGCCTCAGCAGTTACAGCAGCAATTTGACTTTCCTTGTGCGCCAAAGCAGCCCCTAACTTCTCCTTTTGTAAGCTTAGCTTTTCAATAAGACTACGGACATCGCTGATCTCACGTGACAGTCGGGTCTCATCATACCGCGTCGTGGTCGGTGACGATGGTTCATCAACGCCCTCTTTGCCCAGTGCCTCATGTAGTTGAATTGTTACCTCTGTTCGCTCTTGAAGGAGCTGTTTGTTATCATCTTGAATTTCGCGGCTTGAATTTTCAGCGTCCTCGAGCTTTGCTTCTAAAGATCCCTTTTCTTCTAAGACAGCAACAATATATTGAAAAACGTATTGAAGATTTGCCTCTCCTTGTTGGGTACCTTCAGATTGTTGCGCAGATTTCTTAACCACTGATTCGTCGATAAGAGCGTGCAAATCCAAAGCTTGGTCTCTTAGTTCCTTAAGCTGATCTCGCATGGAATTACTTTCAATCTTTGTTTCCTCAAACTTGTCTGTGAGGAATTGTTTGTCGCCATCGAGTTTTTCCACTTTTTCTTTCAGGTCGGAGATTTCTTGAGACTTCGCAGCCATTTGATCCCCAAGGAGCTTTTCATTTTCTTCAAACTGGTTGACTTGGACCAACAACTTATCTTTCTCTTCTTCAGCAAGTTCCAAATCGTCCTCGGCGGTGTCAAGTTTCCCTTGAACACCTTTCAGCGTGCTTGTTAGGGTCTCGATTTCATCTCTTAACTTCTTTGTAGTGTCTTGAAACTCCTGCTTGGACTTTTTGAGCTCTTCATCTTGTACGGTCTTTTGAGTCTCAGATTCCGCTAAAGTCTCTTGAAAAGCCTTGTATTCGTTGATATGTTTCTCTAGTTTAGCTTTAAGATCCTCTTTTTCTTTCTTCATTCCATTCACTAAGCCATCCAGATGTTCTTTTTCTTTTGTCACATGTTTTAAGTTATTCTCCATTTCGGCAAGCTCATACGATTTTCCCTGAAGCTGTTCGTCCAGTGATTCCATTTGCTCTAAGAGCCGTGCGACTTCAATGGTTCGTGTTTCACTTTCCCATGCAAGCCTTTCTTTTTCTTCAGCCATTTCACTACACTTCTTCTCAAGATTATTTTTTTCCTCAGCAAGTTGTTCCCCCTGTTTGGAAGTTTCTTCAATGCGAAGCTTTAGTCTCGCCTCTTCCTCCTTGGCTATTTCCAGTTCTGTAAGCATTTCTTTATTTTCCTTGATCATCAACTCTTGTTGTTTCTCTAAGTTTTCCTTCTCCGATGAAATGGAGTCAAACCAGCCCTTTAGCTGTTCAATCTCCTCGACACTTCGCTCCAGGTCCTCTTCAAGTAGCTTCTTTTCTGCACACACTTTATTGTAACGTACATCAAGTGATTCCAGTTGATCGCTGGGAGGCAGGTTTTCAAGGGTTGAACTTGCCTCACTTGGAGCTATCAAATCGTTTTCGTTACTTGGAGGCTGCTCGAACTCTCTGTTGTCAAACGTTGTAACCATTTCGTAAACGGGAGGGCTGCTTTCGCATTGCAGTACTGTGCTAGGTTGTATGCCATTTTCACCCTGCGAATGATTCTCGCTAAGATCGGTTTCAGGGCTGCTGCTTGACCGAACTGGAGCTTCCTTCTCTGCAGCAGTTTCACCTAGTGTGGAGCGCTTAGTTGACATTAGCTCCTCTAGTTGTTTCTTCAGTCCATCATTCTCCAAGTGTAGGCGAGTAATAACATCTTTTTCCTCTTCTTTGTTCCCGTCTTTTGTGTCTTCAACACTTTGGTCTGCCTCGACTTGAGCTCCAGTAACTTTTTCTTTCCACTTAGCTTCGGATTCCTTAAGTGTGTGGAGCTCGGTGGTGGTCTCGAGCAGCGCTTCCTTTAAAGCATCACGCTCTTCTACCATCCTAGAAAGTGATTTCTTCAAGCTTTGAACCTCCGCTGAGACCTCCGTTAGTGACATGGTACTTTCGTGCTGCTTACATAAAGCATCTTCCAATTGATACTGCAGGCCTTCTTTGCTTTGATAAACGTTTTCCAAAGCGTCAGCTAAATTGTTCTTCTGTTGTTTGATCTCGTCTATTTGCTCTGACATTGCCTCTTTCTCCTCGGTGAGCTTGGTGATGAAGCTCTTTACTTGTCTTCGCTTCTCATCAAGTTCTCGAACGTATTTCTGCAGCGACAACTTTTCCGTTTGAGACGATTCCAATTTGACCTTTAGGTTTTCCTGGTCAGTCTTCACTCTCCTAAGTTCCTTCTTAAGGAGGGTAACTTCCTGTTGAACTTTTTCAACCAGTGAAAGAATGTTGTTCCCTTGTTCCTCCAGCGACATTTCTTTTATGTCGGTGGCGGTTTCCTCAGAGCTACTGTCTTTATCTTTATCTGTCAAGGATTCGTAAAGTTCCCATAGTTTGGCATAAATAGATCTCATTTGCTGTTTAGCTTTCTCAACACTCTCCATTCCAGCTGTAGTTGGCTCTAATTCGCCATTCACTCGTTGATAATTTTCTTTAAGTGATGTCAGCTCTTTATCCATCGTTTCAATTTTTTTCTCCAAAGCAGCCTTTTCTTCCGTGACCTCATCAAGGGATTCGACTAGCTCCTGTTTCTCTTCGTGTGCTTCACGTAGACATTCTTGGAGTGTGTTAGTTACCTCTTGATTCTTTTGGAACTGATGCTTACTCACTGTGGCTTCTTTCTTCATCGTTGACACCATTTCTCGCAGTTCCGTTTCGTTTCTCCTACTCTCCTGTAGCTCCTGTTTGATTCTCTCATTCTCCTTTTCAATCTCAAGCAACCGCTCTTTTACACCTTTCAGATCGTCGCTCAGCTGAACTGACTTCATTCGTAAACCGTCGTCGGTAGAAGAACTGTGTTCGTCTCTCTCCGGAGAAACTTGAGTGATATTTTCAGTAGCCACAACATTTCCATTGAAGTCTGTCTCTTCATCGCTTGATGCATCACTTTGCTGTTTGCTGTTAGGTAGGTGGTTTGTTGTTACTGGATCTAATCCTATAGTGATATCGTTCTCGCTAATTATGCTCTTCAGTTTGTTGATTTGTACTTCAAGTTTCTCATTCTTCTCCAGTTGATGGTAAAGCGAATCCAGCAAACACACTTTTTCTTCTTCCAAATTCGAGTTGTCTGACTTGAGAGCTTTTATAACATTCTCAAGTTCGGTTCCGCGTTTGGTGAGACGAAGGATGTCTTGTTTAAGAAACTCGCAACGCTCCACTGAACTCTTCCGAGCGGGTTGCATGCTACCATCACTTTCTTTATCGACACTTTCAAAGTCCAATTGTCGCCTATCGCCACGTTTGGTTTTAAGAACAACAATCTCTCTCTTTAGGTTAATAAAACTGTCCTCGATATCTCTTTTGTCCACTTGAAGTTGCCGTATTTGAGCTGTTTGAGAATCGATCAACTCTTTGCATGTCTTTATTTCACTTAAGAGACCCGAGTTATGAATTTTTTCACCCGTTTCCCGTGGGACGCTTGTCTCACTTTCTGCACAATAAACCATGCTGCTATTGATTTCGTTGAGCTTTTGAATCTCGGTACCTAAGTAATCGACTGCATCCTCTAGGGAATCCTTTCGTTCAATTTCGTCAAGCAGAGCTTTCAAGTGTGTTGCATTTTTCCTCGACAGCTCAACGACATTCTCTCGTAACTTTTTGTTTTCTGCTTCCAAGAGTTGAATTTTGCCATTAAGCTCTTCTTTTTGGTGATGTAATTGTTCCATTTCTTCGAGGCTGGAATCTAAGGCATCGGTTATTTGGCTCCTTAACTTGTTCACGCTGTCTTCGAGCGCCCTTTTTTCCTCTGTGAGCTTGCCACTTTCTTCCTCCATTGACTTATATTTTTCTTCCAGCTTCTCATGTTCCAGTTGCAGAGTCAGTAAACTAGTCTTGAGTTCTTCCACCTCCACGCTGGAAAGAGAAACACCATAGTTCCCTAACTGTCCAAGGACGTTCATTTTACACTGAACTGCAGCGTCGGCGGTATCGTGATGGTCCATTTTGTATCCATTCGTCGTTTTCTTTTGTAATTTATGGACTGTCGCTAGCAGAACTTTCCTTTCTTTTCTTAAAGTGACAAGTTCTGACAAAGCAAATCCATCTTCGTTTTCCTCATCGGGTTTGCATTCTACTTTGGTCAGTAAATCCAGTTCTTCATCAAGCTGCCCACGCTCGTTTAGTTTGTCCTTTATTAGCTTTAATTTTTGCTTGTAATTGTAACTTTCTACTTCCAGTTTTGAACGATCGCTTTCCAGCCGTCGAACCAACCCCTCGTGATCAAGTATCCCTCCGTTAATTTGGAGATGCCCCCTCATCAATTCTACTTCTTTGGCACGCTTCTTCTTGTTCTCGTCTGTTTCATTGTTGTTCTCCTCGTAGAACACTCCTTTGAAGGTGTGAAGTCCATTGTTATTTTTCCCTCCGATTGTTATCAATTCCCGCACTTGGTCTAGATACCTCTCCAGGACTTGCACTTCGCAGTTAACGTCAGTTGTACTGTGATGAAGTCTGGCAATCAGTTCTGGGGGAAACGGATCCCACTTTTTGCTGTTCTCTTTGGACATCTCTGTTTCTTTGCGGACTGTTTCGTGTAGAGAGGTTAGCTGAGACTGCACTCTCTGGCCTATGTTTGCCATTTCAAATGCGAGTCCATTGAGTTTTATGGTTTTTTCAGAAAGAGAATTTTCTGATCCGTAGTCTACTTCTAGTAGCTTGAGAGCTTTTTCTTCCTGTTCTTTGACAATTTGATCGAGGTCTCTGTAAGATAAAGTCAAAGAAAACTGAACATTATCTATTTTGTGAGACACTTTGACTTAACAGTAAAGTTTGCTTTTATTTCAAACAAAATTTGCAACCAAATCGTTTTGTACTTCGTATAAGGTGTCATCTGCCCTCTTTGGGTTGGTTACTCTAAACGAAGTCTAACTTAGACCGGCCGCGGCTCACGGTGGATCTCCAAAATGGGTTATTTTTATAAGCAGATAGTAAATGCTTTTCTGGTCTGCTCTTCTGATATACTTTCTCGACACTTTTCACCCTGAAAATGAAAAATTGAAAATGGCCTAGAAAGCGGTTCTTGACACTACTGTAACAACCCTCCAGCTGTACTTGGGTATAGTTTCTTCCACACGTGGAATTAGATTGGTCCTCTGATATAGTAGTTAGTCACAGACTTAAGGAATGACAGCTCTACGTTAAATTCCGTTCACTATGGAAGCACTCTGTGCGCAGTCACAGACACAGTTGGTTTACTTTTAAGGTCAGCATTGCTCGTGTCGATCTGTCTGGCAGTCATTCGCGATCATGTTGATGTTATGTACGAAGTGTTACTGAAATCTCAATTACTTCACTTAATCCTTAAACAACAAACACTGTTCACGCTTCAAGTAAATTGTAAACATGCTCTCGTTTTGCATAAAGGCTTTTGCTTTTTTATGTTTTTTAACATAAAAAAGCAAAAGCCTTTATCTCAGTCTATATCAGTTATTTACTTACAAAAAAAAATACTTAAAACCTCAAGCAAATTTACAAATCTACCCATGTCCACTTGAGCATAAGCAAAGACATCAAAACATTTACCCTGACAATGTCGTATTAACTTATTAATTGCCATTTAATTCGTTCAGCCCAGCCACNAGGCTTTTGCTTTTTTATGTTTTTTAACATAAAAAAGCAAAAGCCTTTATCTCAGTCTATATCAGTTATTTACTTACAAAAAAAAATACTTAAAACCTCAAGCAAATTTACAAATCTACCCATGTCCACTTGAGCATAAGCAAAGACATCAAAACATTTACCCTGACAATGTCGTATTAACTTATTAATTGCCATTTAATTCGTTCAGCCCAGCCACAGAAGTGTTCAACTTTGCTGATAATTACGATTGCAGTAATATCTTACTAACATTACAATATAGTTTCCGGTACGCTTGCATTTTTTAATAGCGGCACTTAAGCTTACCGTTCTAAATTCATTCATCCATTCAACATCGAACCTAGTTGACCAGTATGTTTCATAAGTTGGGTGATATAACACTTTAACCTTGTATGAGAACAACGGAGCGAGATCTACGATACAAATGTTTTTCTCGCAATACCGCAGGCGGGATCGTAGGTTTTAGGCAATCAATAGGTCGCCGTAAATTGAAGTTCATTAAATCACGGATTTGTCAGAACAGATTATCCTAAACCTCTTTGTACAGCTTATAAGTTGATGGAAGTTTAAAGTACATAACAAACGGATTATCTCTTAACTAACCTCCTGAGCTGTTTCTTAGCGTACATTGTTCCAAAATTGTCGTAAAAAGCGTCGAGGGTTTCATTGAATCAGTCTACTTGAAAATGTCTGTTTTAAGACTAAATGTACAAGACCAGCTCTGTATATGTATGTCGTAGCTTACATGATATGTTGACAATGGCATATTATCATAAACTAATTGGGCCGTGAATGCCGTCTTCTTGAATTAAACACAAAGAGCACTTGACCGAACAACTGCGTCGATACCGCTTCCGTATCCCAAGGGGGGTATTGCACGCTTGAAGGGGAGAGAAATATTCCATGCATTTACTTTGGCAAAGCAATAGCAATGAAAGAATTTACTCTTTTCAGAGTTCGCAATTTTTCACGGCGATTGAAGGTATAGTTGCTCTCTTATGTGCTTACTAAATCAAACATTGCATTCTAATTGGATAGCTGCGTAGTGCTACGATTATAGCGGGGCTTCCACGCGCACCTTAGGTGCGCATGCAGCCCCAAGCCTGAAAGATGTTGGGTGGCACAGGGCAACCAAGCCATAGACGCACCCATGCGTAGGAGGAGCGTTCGCCTCCCAGCAATGAAGCCTGGGTTCGAAACTCTACTTCGAGAGGTTTTTCTCCTCTCCTAGAAAGAGAAAGAAAAAAATTCCTCTTCGATCTGGAACGCACGCACACTCGCAATGAATTCTATCGCCAAAGCTTCTAGGGTCTTAATTTAGCTTAAAAACAAACTTGCCTTTGAACAAAGGATACTACCGGTATGTCTTCAGAAATGGTAGTCTCCCTCGCAGCCGTTTTTAGTATCGTCACGCAACGCTCCTCCTGGGGAGGAGCGTTGCGTGACGATACTAAAAACGGCTGCGAGGGAGACTACAGAAATGGGAGCTCCTCAAAATAATTGTACTGTAAAAATTCAAGTGGCGCTCCTGTAAAATTGCTTTGAAAATGAAATAGCATGTTTTGTAGAAGTCGTTTTAGCAGTATGCTTGGCTTACAGATTAAAGAAGTTTGTATTCTCTGGTACAGATTAACAACCAAGATCGAAGTCTGATCATGAAGTCATCTTTGTTTTTGTTTTTTCACTCATTTTATCTTTGCACAGTTGTCTTCTAAAAAGTTAAAGCATCAACCACAGCTGCTTTTGGAGGATGGCCTTACAACAAAACAACGGTAACAAGGTTGGTCATATAAATACATTTAAAATTTCAGGGTTGTGCTTATTTTAAGAATTAAATAAGAGAGAGAGAGAAAAAAAAAATCGGCATTGTATTCTGTGATTGGTCAGAAAAGGGCATCATCTAGTCAGTAACGCGCTCTGCGTCACGCGAGTAATTAATATCTTGATAGAAGACAAGTCCTACGTGACAGGCGCTTAGAAAATGTTAGTAAAAGGTGTAGGGGAGAGTGATGTTCCTGGGAGGATCGATGATACTCATGTTCCCTTCCCTTAAGAATAAAATTAGAACCGTTATACTTAACATATCCAATTCATCTCACTTCACACATCGCGTTGTACGCGCCTACAAACTTTTTTCAGCAAACTAAAACTATGAAACTCAAATAAACATAGTCAAATATTATTGTACCAAAAATATTATATTTTATAAACGTGTAGAGTAACTTATGATATTGTAGTATTGATAGTTGTCTAAAATCAACTGAGAGATATTCGCTCGTGTGAAAGTCAGTTACGTCTAAGTGAAACTTTCAAGAAAGTCAGTTTCCTCCCACTGATTTGTTTCGGAATTAGAATACGCCAATTAGAAAGCAGCCTGTGAACTACGGATTCCATTTTCATTTTCAGCAAGAACACGAAATCTAGATTCAGTTAAGTTTGATGTTTCAGAAGATGTCAGATATTAAGGTGAAATATTCAGGATGTACTTAGCCAATCTAAGGCTTAAGTGGAGCATTAAGTCGATACATGCAGGGTACCAACACATTTTTAATGTTTTCAAGCTCCATTTTCTTCCTTGAACCTACAGGAACACTGAAGAATTAGACTGAATATAAGACAGCGACTATTAAATCTCCCACGGCAACTGTCTTCGAAAAACGGAAACTTAAGAAGCATTCTTGAGTTGTTTCCTTCTGGAATGGCTATGATTGAAAATACATTTCGAAGTGTTATTTCTCTTGTTTAAAGCAATGCACGGCCTCACGGCAGTTCTTACATTAAGAACCAAACTGATATCAAGTCTCAAATAGATACTTTTTGAAAACGTGTTGACGAAACTTTTTAAACTTCGACTCTAGTATCTTAGATAAAAAGTGTCCTGATTGGCTCACTTGATTCAGTAATTTTGTCTATGGTGATCTTGAATCAATTTGTTAATTAGAAATGCGTTCATATACAATTTTAGCGTAAAATGTAAAGAGAAAAATCCTCGTTGTTTTATGGACTAAAATCCGCGTATATATTTGTATATTCCATTAACGTTTTTAAAAAACGTCCACAGTACTACATCACAGTAAATCTAGTCGAAGAATTCAAACTATTAAACATTTATAACAGAATTAATAGCTAGAAGTACCTTTGTTTGCGTTCTAGTCCCAAAACTATTGTTTGCGTAAGGTTTAAACTCGACTGAAATATATTAATATAATAAACAAGAACAGAGCGGATTAGCACATCTCATTTCATTGACGAGTAAAACTGTAAACCAAGTAAGATCTGAACACATCGACGCTGAGACACAGACGCTCACAAGCATACACGAGTTAATTGTATTATTGTGAACGAGTGTCTAGTAATAAATATCGTAGTGGCGTGCGACTTGGCATAACTCTTTGAGGACTTACCTAGGGTAGAAGTTTGATGAATTTTTCTAAAGATGACAAAAAAGTCTTACTCTTGTTCTCGTGATTCTTACTTACGTTATCTGCACTACAACAAACAATTCCGCACAATTAGGAACAACGCCGGCCAATCAAATATCATCCCTAATGGAATTTTCAATCAAAACAAACCGGTAGGAAAGATAACACACTCAGAATTTTAGGCGACCTCACTCTACAAGCCAGGATTTTAGTGAAGAAAGAGTCGATAATTCAGAAGGAATTGTTAAGAATAGTCTTGAGAGTCATGAGTTTTACGATTTAACCACGCGCCTTAGGCGCCTAAAAATCACATCACCCGAACATTGTTAACAATTAATTATGAAATTATTATTCGGCACCAACCAGACTCTTAACCTTTACAAACATCTGACAAACACCCGTTTTATGTAGCTCGTACTAGTCTATTACGGAGATCTGTGTTTTGGTGAACACTCTGTACCGGCGTGTAAAGCCCCCACAGCGCACCTAGCAATACGACATTGCTCAATATTCTTAGCTTCTTTATAGTCAAAATTGCCGGTTGATTCAACCTATTGATCATGCAGATAAAATGCTGAGACCATACAAATAACCAATTGTTTGGCACCACTTTCCCATGGTACAGCTAGAATTTTACAAAATTTTCAAAACAACCCAGATTTCTTAGCATAAAATTTGCCTGCCAGTGTAAG